AGCGAGACGTGATAGGTCAACACTGAGTGTCCATGTATCGTATTGACACACTTGAATCAGCCAATCAGTGCGAAAGAATTCACACAGGCTAAGTGTGGCAAAACATAATTTATAGATGTTATAAAGGCTGATTTACACGGCACGATTGTCTCGTGCGATTTGTAGTATACGACTTGAATCGCGCAGTGTAAATGCCCCTACGACTTGTCTACAACAGTCGTACGCAACCTACGACTTGTAGTAGGAAAATCGTATACTACAAGTCGCGCGCGACAAATCGTACCGTGTAAATCAGCCTTAAGAATACAGAGTGAACGTGCATCTCCATTGATTCCCTTTGAGGAAAAACAAAAACAAAATTAAGAAATGTGAAGTATGCGCTAAGAAGACAAAATTTTAAAGAAGCACTAGCTTTTATTTATCTTTTAGATACAACAAAGTGTTCATGCGTCTCAAGGACAAATGGCTTCAACTGCTTAAATTCATATGTCATCTGAATTTTTTTCTTTTAGGTGTAATTTTCTCTGGAAACTTTTATACGTAATTTCATTTCTAATGCAACAATTTTTTTTCGAATTTCCAGAGAAAGCTACGGCCCGTCGTAATATCAATAGTTATTTTAAGAAAATTTTCCACTCCAAATCATCTTTATTTTTCTCTGTTTGTATTTTTTCAACAGTTTGATGATCTTCGAAAGTGCTTTCTGTCAGTCATCATGGAAATCCTTGCCTCTGCGTCCTTTTGGAACAGCGAGGTCGAAAAGGCCTGGTGTTGCCTTTTTACTAGCATAAGCACAATGATGCTAAAAGGTTTAGAATTGTCATGACAACAGGTGCTCAAAGCCAAAGTCTAATTAAGGCAGAGTGAACAACTGCTGAACCACGTGTGTACAACATGGATGGGAGTCTTTCTCCAATATTTGTTAGGAGCAAAGTGTGTGAACTGAAATGACATCGCAGTAGCCCTTCCATCACATCAATATCATCACAGAAAGAATCAATATC